CTGAGTTACCTTGCAGCAACTGAAATAAGTGGAAGACACAGGTGGGAAATGGGAGGAGGAGAGAGTAACTAGGTTATTTTAAGAACAGTGGAAAAGTGGCAGAAATGATTAATAATTAGGATTGTTGCTCCCAAACTTGGACAGTCAAAAGATATGCCTTGTATTGGTTTCGTATCAGTCTAATTTTTCTAACTAAAGATACTGTTTCCATTTTGATTTCTCTAATCGTAGATTTTAAATAAAAAATAAAGTCCTATATAGTTTTAGAGAAAAAATTAGATTAGCTTTCCTGTGTGATTGGGCTTTTATAAATCAGTTTTGTATCACTTTTCTCATGCAGCACTCTAGTGAAAAGTGTAAAATAGCTCTTCTGGGAGAGGAAAGCTTCTGTGTAGATCCAATCCAATATGTTTATTTTCACTGTGAGTGATACAGAACATTCCCAAGAATAGAGGCTATATTTACTACAAGGTTAAAAGAAAACTAAAACAATTTCATTCTTCCTGTGCTTCCCCCACAAAAGTCTAGAAAATAATGTGCATTTTTGTGTGTGAGAAGAAAAAAGTAAAGCTACATTGAACCAAACAAAATTCTTCTGGCTTTATATTAATAATGACCTCAATTCAGGTCATTAACTTGGGAATTAATGACCAGTTAAGGTTAATGGCCCAAGGTCTTGAGTCATTAAACTCCAAGGAAATGCCCTGTACTTTGATCGTTATTCGTTTATTAGGGACGGGTTGTAGCTTAAAAAAATGTGGGTGTCTCAAAACACAAAGATGATCTAATGCTCACAGTGAAAGCAAGACTTGTGCTACATATGTCTTGCATTTAAGAATGAACTTTCAAATAAAATATCTAATATTTTCAGCATCTATGATATACTGTTCACCTTGTTCCAGTATTGCACTTTTTAATTTACCTTTTCTATGTCGTTACTGCATGCAGCACAGTGTGGAGTTCACAGAATTGTATTTATCTTACCTGTGAAGGATTAGACTGAGTATAGTGACTAGTCCAGTGCCACTTGGCTGAATGAGTAAAGACTTGAAACTTGACTTCTAAGACCCCAGGACTTCTGCAGTTGCTTGGAATTTATGCATTTCAACAATAAGAAAGTCAAGACTAATTGACATTATAAAGCAATCTTCAGATTTTAGAGCTACCTTGAGGAGCAACTGTAAACTATCATTTTGGGGGGGGGGGGAGTAGGAATGTAATATGTAAACCAGACCTGCACAACTTTAGATCAAAATTAAAATAAGTTAAACCTTTTCAGGCTCGGTGTTCGAGATCGGGATCGGGACCAGGACCGGGACCAGGGGAGGCACTGCTCTTGAGAAACCTATCCATAGAGAGCAATTGTTGTCTGTTCCCATAGCCCTGAGTATGGGGCTTCTTCTATGCCCGTAACAGCCACTAGGGAAGCTACCTTCCAACCCCCTTCCCTCCCTGCCCCTTCCTCACTTGTGTCACTTGTGGCTTGTGGGGGGGGGGGGGACACAATGGAATGCAATAGGAGGGGATGGTCAGAGAGGAGCTCTACTTGTGGGTGTGGAAGAGAAGGCTGTGGCAGAGTCTGGGCACTAGGACCTGACTCCTGCTCTTGGTCCTGACTTGAGGGGAGAGGGTTGGAATTGTGGCTGTGCATTGCTTGGGTGCTGGTGGCCACATCATTGTTGCCCGGATGTGCTATACCTGGCAGCTGTCAAGGGCTGCCTAAAGTCCTTTGAGGACCTGCATGCGGCTTGTGGGCTTTGTGTTGTGCATGTCTGGTGTACACCCTATTGAAGTTATTCTCAGAACTTTAGCTTTAAAGAGATTAGCTTATATCCTTTTCTTTTAAAGAAAAAAATTGAGATCCTTAGAGGTTATAAGTCAGATCTTTCCAAACACTTAATGTTAATGACACACTTTTTAGACATGCATCATTTTGTACAGTAATTCAATTTTACTAGCAGACCAGAGGTTAAACCAACCCCTTATAAGAAAGACAGACATATACATATATTTTATATATATATTTGAAAATATATGATTTGTAACATAAGAGCAGACATTTCCAAAACAAATATTTAAGCAAATAAAAAATCGCTGTCTGAAGGAATAATAATAATAATAATAATAATAATAATAATAATGCAAAAAAAAAAGAAAAGAAAGCTAAATTAAAACTGAAAGAGAAACAAAAGTTAAAGGTATGATAGAGAGGGAGAAATTAAGATTGGAAAAGGGAAAGGCCTTTTTCCCAATAAACAAACCATAACAATGCAGTTCTCTCATCCACATTGCCCCCTGTCAGTGAAGAACAAAGAAGCAGGGACGGAGGGGTGACCTGGTGCATATGCTATATGCTATATGCTAGAGTTTTTACTTTATTGTATTGTATTGTGTGTTTATTTTATGCTTTATCTTAGGCATTTTGTGCCATATGTAAGCTGCCTAAGTCCCTTCGGGGAGTTGAAGACATGGTACAAGAATAAAGTTGTTGTTGTTATGCTCCGCCTGGCCCCAAAATGATTAAGGTTGGCCTCCCCTGTGTAGGAGAGAATGAGTTGGCCCTCCTAGCCTTATGCAGTGTGGTTGCTACTGTCACCTGGGAGGGGCTATTAATCAGCATACTTATATACTGCTGCTGACACACTAATGTGTTGCAGCACACAGTTTGGAAAACTCTGTTATAGATGGTATCTTTGACTCATACTTTTCATATGACTCATACTTCTTAAATTGGATACACCTTCACTTACATCAGCAGAGGATTTTAGGTGACTTCCCTAAACACTAATAATAATAATAATAATAATAATAATAATAATAATAATAGTAATAATGATAACAACAACAATAATAATAATAATTTTATTTCTTACCCAACTCTCCTCCCGGCTCATGTCTTCTCTCCAATACTGCCTATTGTTGAATATGTTTGGACCTGCTGCTCAGGAAACTCAACCCAACTGAACAATCCTGCTATTCATGCCATTCCATCCCGGTACCATTAGCTATATCAGTGCCACTAGATTCTCATATTGACTCTTGATCCTTGCCCCTTTACTTTAATTGCACAATTTAGCTCTGTGCTGTGATTCAAGAACAGAATCTCTCTTCTGGTTTGACATTATTCATACCCCTTATTATGTGGTTTTTGTACTTGTCTCTATGCAGTAGGCTTCTCACACAGCTACTTGTATGTGGGCTTTCATGACATTGAAAGTTCCAGTTGCATGGGATTTCTCTGGCTCATTTAATCCATGAAAGATTTTAAATGTTAAAAAGCAATGCTTTTGGGTTTGGAAAGATTAGCCATTTACAAGAAACGTTGTGCAGGGGACTCCCCACTGTATTTACTTAATCTTCAAGGAGGCTCTTTCTATGTCAGCCCTGGCCTTGTCTTATTCAGCTGTCAAGTATGCCTGCCCTGTTTGGCACAAGTCTTCCCATGCGAAGCAGGTGAACATAGCATTGACCAAAACATGCAGAATAATCACAGATAATCACAGGATGCCTTAAACCTAACCTGCTAATAAACTCTATGAGCTAGCTGGCATAACCCCCCCCCCCCTCTGGATGTGTGACAGGAAATTTCTGCTTTAAGAGAAATAAGGTTGAACACTGTGGAAACCACCCAGTTCATGGCTATCAGCCTTCCYGCTCCCCCAGCAGACTCAAATCAAGAAAAAGCATCATGAGAACCACCACCACACCCCATTCCCACAGCAACACTATCCTTCTGGGCAGTTAAACCAGGAAATCCCAATTGGATTGCCCCCCCCCCCCCGAGGGTCTTCCTCCAGGGGCAAGTCAAGAATGGGCAGCTTGGAAGTCCCTGAACAGTGGAGTGGGCAGATCAAAAGCCAACCTGACAAAATGGCACTACCTAAAAGAATCCTCCACCTTGTATGACTGTGGAGAAGAACAGACAATTCTGCATCTGTATGCTTGTCTACAATGTTCTGCCTCATGTACAGAGGAAGAATAATTGAAGGCTACAGACAGTGCAGTCACGGTTGCCCATTTTTGGTCAAATGATATTTAGCCGCTTGTGCTGCTTCTATTTTTATCAGTTTTATACTAATTTATGCAATGCTTTTCATACAAAATGTAAATAAATAAAATAAATCCATGAAAGATGACTTCTACTATTGTGTGAACATTTCTTCTGAAAGACTTTCCTCCCATGAGCACAAGCCCATTTGCATTTCTACATAGTATAGATGTCAGTTGCTAAGACTGACATTTTTAAGAATGCTTTTTCTGACTAATGCACCATATTTAAAGCAAGATTTTTTTGTTTTTACTTTAAATAAAAGAAGGGTTAAATGATAACTTGACTTATCTTTTACATGACAAAAAATAAAGAAATTGCAAGACCTTTTCACATATTAGATATGTATTGTCATTTATCATCTAGATATCAGGGTAGTAGTGTGGAGTAATAAAACATATCATCGAAAAATGTGCTATAGGTCTGAACCACTCTTTCATTCCACCTCCCAGCTAACTGTAGTATTAAATCAAACAAGCAGAACATTTCCTTAGGCAGCCATTGCCTTTTAATTTCCTGAAGAACCTTAAAATATCATTCATTACAAGTACTACACATATTTGGTTTTTAAAAGTCTCATAAATCAATAGCAGGCTGACTGTAATAATTATTACAAGTTAGTGCATAATTTTCGTGCTGAAGGCTGCATGCAGAACTTTAGCATATGCAAACGAGGCAATTCAAACTGTGTATAGATATTAATATGAAGAAGCAGGTAACGAGGTGCAGGCTATGAATTATGCATCAAGCGCGGCTGATCTTCAATGAGGAAAATGAATTCAGCATGTAATCTAATTAGTGATGGAAGTCTATTACATCTAACTGCAAAAGCAACCGTCCTTGAAACAAATTTATTTACAGTCCATGTTTCCAATTGAAACAACTTTGAAATGATGTGTAAGACAACAGCTTAATTGTAAAGTTTTTGTTTGCTTGTTTTTTTCCCTTTCAGTTCCAGACCTGGACGGCCTCCTAAGCGGACCCAAAGTGTCACCTCTCCAGAGAATTCTCATATTATGCCGCATTCTGTCCCTGGTCTCATGTCTCCTGGAATCATCCCACCAACAGGTAGGTGTTCCACAAATTATGGCACATACGGTACCGTGGTTCAGGAGCTGCATTGCAGCGGCTTGTAGGACCTCTACTATGTCAAAATGTCAACGATTGAAATTTGGAGGAATCTAACATTGGAATTAATTATCTTTTTTCTGAAATAGGATGACTTTCTCAAGATGTAAATAGTTCCTAGCTCTTTGGTATTGTAAAAAAAATGTAGCAAGCTCATTGACCCATGGTAGGAGCAGGAGGTCTGGCTTAGTAGCTTTCCAGAATTCCTTCTTCATTTCAAGTAATCCTGAAATCAGCTTGTGTTTCCTTTGCATGAATCAAGTGTTTACACATATGCTTAATAAATCATTTGCTGTCAATAACATTTTCTGTTATAAAATTCTAGCAATACAGATTTATCCTTTATCTGAAATGCTTGGAACCAGACATGTTCTGTATTTTGTAATACTTGCATATAGATAATGAGATATCTTAGAGGTGGGACCCAAGCCTAAACATGAATTTTATGTATGTTTCATCTATACCTCATGCAGACAAAGGTAATTTTATACACAATATTTTAAAAATTATTTTGTACATGAGACAAAGTTTGTGTACATTGAACACAAAGCAACAGTTTCATTATCTCAGCCACCCATGCGAATAATTTTGGATTTTGAAGTATTTTGAATTTCAGAATTCCAGATATAGGAACGGAAGCTCAACTTACAAAACATTTCTAGTAAATAATTTATATGGTATTTTTCTTATCTACTTTAAAAATAATAGTAATAATTTTACTTTAAAATAGCTGCCACATCTTATTGATGGGACCTTATTTTTCTTCCAGAATTCTGCTCCTATCAATCTTGTGGCAATTATCATTTTAAGCAATAGAGCTTCCTTTTTCTTGGAAGGAAGGATGGAATGTGGCAATTACTGTATTTGCAATGTAGGATTATTATTTTTAAGATAAAAGAAGGAAAATTATAGGTAGATCAACGTGACAAAAACAAAACACACTAAACAAATCACCCTCACTTGAATCTTCAGAACTGCTACCCCTTTGCTTCTTTAAACACAGACCTTTGGGGATGCTCCTGAATTGTATTGGCAGAATGTGGAGAAGGCTTATGGTGGGGGGTGGTTTATAGAGGAAGAAAAATGAGTCTGAATGCTGTCAGAGGTTGTGGGGAGTTTAAAATATGTGTTAACGGTAGATCTGAATGAAACCTGCCCTGGCACTGCCTTGATGTAGTTTCACCCAAGGAGTCAACCTGAGAAAACCTGGTGGCTCATAGTGGAGAAGAAGGGAGGGAAAAAGAACATAATGGCTCCTTGCCATACTGTATTACTCTGCAGAGAGGCTATACAGGCAGGTATGTGGCCTTAATTTTCAAGTTGTAGCATAGTGATAGGAATAACACAAAAGTGGCACTCACTGTGAGTTTAGCAGTTTATGTATAAGACAGAATGCTGCATTTGCGTTGGGAGACCACCAGGATGCAATTCCTAAGTAAAGGTAAAGGTTTCCCCTGACATTAAGTCTAGTTGTATCCAACTCTGGGGGGTGGTGGTACTCATCTCCATTTCTAAGCCGAAGAGCCGGCATTGTCCGTAGACATCTCCAATGTCATGTGGCCAGAATGACTGCATGGAGCGCTGTTACCTTCTCGCCGAAGCAGTACCTATTGATCTACTCACATTTGCATGTTTTCAAACAGCTAGGTTGGCAGAAGCTGGGGGTAACAGCGGGAGCTTACCCCGCTCCCTGGATTCAAACCACCAACCTTTTTGTCAGCAAGTTCAGCAGCTCAGCGATCTAATCCACTATGCCACCAGGGGGCCCAGCCACAAAGCTTGGTCAAGTTCACTGTCTGTCAGCCTAACTGACATTACAGAAATGCTATGAAGATAAAGGAGTTACTACCACACAATCACAAGCTTCTTGAAGTGATGACAAATCTAACTAAATAACTAAAGGGAAGAGTGAAGCTGTACATGGTTCAAAATAAAAGGAGGATTCACAGTTTATGATAACTGCAGGGATGGAATATCAGTGATTACATAGTATCATCTATGACTATAGCGTGTAAAAACCAAGAGCAGTGTCTGCCTTGGGAAGATTGCTGTTTAAAATTTGCCGTTAAAATAGATAACAAAGCAATGGGCGGGAAAGGGGCAGTAAGAGCAAGAAAGGAAGAAAATTAGCAAGTACAGGTGTATATTTCTCTAGAGAGACAAGGACCAGGAGGGAATGGCAGAAGTCATTGAATTTTTATTGTTAATTGTTGGTTCTGAGAATGTGATCAATGTATGCAAATCTGTACCCCAGATAAATAGTCTTGTTATACAATTTCAAATATAAAGGATATCAAGGTATTGAAAGATACTTTGTCCATCTTCCTTTTCTTTTTCACATTTATTGCCATTGTAATTCAAACAGTGATAAAAATGGAAGGAAAAGAGAAAGTGTTTTTTTAAGGGTAGAAATAATGCTGGTATATAGGAATGCTGGTAAGAAAAGAAGAAGAAAATAGAAAGATTGGGTGGAGAATGGGACTCCTAGATAATCCTGTTTATAAAACTTTTCCTTTAATAAGTCATTTAATTATTGGATAACAGTTTAGTCTTTTTGTAAGCACTGTTCTTCAAACTATCCATGTTTCTTCCACATATGGAGCACAATAGGAGCCTTTTGTTTATTTAAGGTTTTTAAATCTCTTGCAGCCATTTGACAATTATTTTCATCTTATTAGTTCAACTATGAATCAACTAATAAAATTAAAGAGGAAAGGTAATGCATGCTCTTTTTTTTTTTTTTTTTTTAAAATAAACCTATTTGCTGCCGTTGTGTTGGAAAGTAATCTACTACTAAGTAGGAAGGCAAGAATCTTGAAAACAGAATGGCAATTTGTATAACAAGGCAAATTTTCTCTGGGGGCACTGACTACATTGTTAGAGACCTGACTAATTGCCAGCACAGTTCTGTGCAAATTTACTCAGAAGTAGGTTCAGTGGTGATTATTCCTACATTATGCAGAAGATTCTGGCATCTGATGTTTTGATCTCTCCTTGAAATGGCCACCTCCATTTGTATCTATTGAGGAGGAGAAGTGCACAATATAATGCTTGATTGTGAGTATATATAAAAATGTAGCCTACCAGCTAAGGGAAGTACTTTTGTTAGGCTGTTTTTAATTTCCAGACTGGAGGTGAGACCAAGGGAACGTTGTTGCTCTGTATTTCGCAAAAGTATTAAGACTTGCCAGATGAAACCACCATTAGAACAGTTCAGAGTCAATAAATGAACCAATGTGGTTTAGTGGCTTGATTAGAATCCAGGAGACCAACCTGGCTTCAGCCATGGAAACCCACTGGGTGATCTTGGGCTCGCCACACACCCTAAAACTAAAAAAAGGCAATCTTGCCTACAATCCTGTGGCAGGTTTGTCATACATCATAGTTGATTTCAAAACACATAGCATCAAGACACACTTTTTTTACTTGCTTTGGGAAATCAATAGAAAAGAAATATTTTCTTTTCTATTTTATATATCAGATATGACTCCCCCTACCTTACACCGCCCCCAACCCTACAAACACACTTCCTGGAAATATATCTGAACATTGAGACTGCTGTAGAGCCCAGTTTTCCCCTTTGCATTTATTTCCCTCTGACTGAGTTTCACATGCTCATCTTCACCATTAATGGAAGACAAGTCCTTCAAGAGTGCAAAGGCATGTCATTACAATTATGTGTAGTTCAGACTGGATTCATATTGGCAACCAGTCCCAGTCCTTTAGACCTGATGGTACATGTTATTTGGTTAACAATCTGCTGCAGTTGCTGCTTCAGAATTGTCTTCAGGGACTATGTAAAATGCATGGTGGTAGTCTAATCAGGAAGTTACCACTGAATGTTCTACATAAGATGGATATTTCAGAATCTGGATTATTTGCATTGAGCTGGAATATATGAGCCTACACTGTCATATAATCTATTTCAAAGCAGATAATATGGATTTAGAAACTGGATTATATGGCATTGTAGATGAGGACTTAGTCTACATTATTCCTTCTAGGAGAGCAAGTACACCAGTTGAAGCTGGCCCCACATGTTGGGCCACAAAGAGTACCTAGATTTACCATGACAAAACTGGATCTAAGAATTCTCCCACCTTATACACCAGCTCTCTCAGGAGGAATGCAGTGTCATCCGGGACAGGTTACACTAAATCTACCACTCTCATGAGCAGGAAAGCCACTATCCCATACCTAATCTCCAAAGAGATATTCCAGTGCTCTTGCAATTCTTACAATTTCCAACAGTACTTCTTAGGTCCATTCCACGCTGTTCCTTTATCCCAGGAATTGATCCCAGATTATCTGTTTATCCCAGGTTATCTCTTAGTCGGGCCTCATATACTCCAGTTTAAAGAACAGTGTGGAAGGGCTTCTAGTTCTGCATATTTGTTCTCCAAAATGCCGAGAGACACACCAGCAGAAAAAGCACAGTACTCCAAACATAGGGAGTCATAAATTGGTTAGTGACAATCAACCAAACTCAAATAATATTGTCATTAGATCAAGCAAAAAGGCTCTTGGAACCAATTTCCTTAAGAATAGATGTGTGTCTAACACAAGCTGGCATCTTGAGAAGAAAGAAGCTTTAAGCAGTTAAATTTTCTCCTTAATTCTGTTCCCTCCATTTTCTACAAATACCTTGAATATCAGAAGGAATCTAGTGGTACATTTGGATTTCGTTAGTTTTTTGGTTTGCTTTTTCTAGAGTGCAACCATTTTTGTGGGGGCAGTGGAGGAGCTTATTGATAGGCTAATGAAGCCATATATAAATATTGATAATCATAAAATTACTTCAGTGTGTAGTATGTGTCTTTAGGTTGCCTGTTGACTTAAAGCAACTCTATTAATTTCTTAGGTTAGGAATATTCAAAAATAGTTTGCCAGTTCCTTCCTCTGAAATATAGTCTACACCAGGGCTTCTTAAACTTTTCTGA